CCCACGGCAAGGAAGGAAACAACCTTGCTGTGCACTCCTACACTTCCTAATCCATCCAATCTGTCTACCACAGGTAAGAAAGGTTCTAATTCTATTAATTCTAACCCCATTCCACCAAATGCACCTTTCCCTAGCAGATTCATGCAAACATAGAAGGAAGAAGGTGAAAAAGACCTCCTTGAAACATTCAGAAAAGTACAAGTCAATATTCCCCTTCTTGATGCTATAAAGCAAATCCCGAAGTACGCTAAGTTTTTTAAGAAACTTTGTACAACAAGGAAACGGATTCGGGAGAAAGAGGTGGTACATGTGGGTGAGAATGTCTCTGCAATGTTGCAAAGAAAGCTGCCAACTAAATGCAAAGATCCAGGTAGTTTCACTATCCCTTGTCTAATTGGTAATACAAGGTTTGAACATGCCATGCTAGATTTAGGTGCATTAATTAATGTCATGTCATATTCTGTTTATGCATCTATGAATCTAGGAGAGCTTAAAAATGATGGTGTTATTATTCAATTAGCCAATCGATCTAACACCTACCCGAAAGGAGTTTTGGAAGATGTTTTGGTGCAGGTAGACCACTTGATTTTTCCTGTAGATTTTTATGTGCTTGACATGGAGGATTCAGCCCATTCTCCACCATCGTCAATCTTACTTGGACGACATTTCATGAAAACAGCTCAAACAAAGATTGATGTGGCCAAGGGAGCATTAACAATGGTTTTTGGGGGTGATATGATTAACTTTAAAATTCCTGAATCTCTTGAGAATTCTAATGATGTTCGTTCTTGTTTTGCCATTGATGTAATAAAAGATGTAGGGCATGAAAATTTAGCACCAATTAAGAAGGATGAATTTCGAACCACCAAAGAAGAGGGAATTGGAGTGGAGCACAAAGAACACGCCATTAACCTCAAAATGCACAATTTGGCCGAGAGCACCATTGAAGAATCTGTTGACAGTCATGCCACTTCATTGTAACACATTGGTGAGCCATCTAGTCTGATTTCAATTCCCATTTCCACTAATAGGTTGTTACGTTCTTTGGTCCATGTCCCCAATCGAATTCAAGGTGGTGTGACACTTTACATTGACTTTAGGATGCTCAACGCCCCAATCAGGAATGATTACTATCCCCTTCCATTTATAGAGCCAATGTATGAGTATTTTGAGGAGCATGTCGTGAAGGACATACCCCTCCATGCCGTGGGGCATATTCAAGCTTAACTGGAGGTATCGTCTGGCTGGAAGACGTTAAAGCAAGCGCTTCTTGGGAGGCAACTCATGCAAATAAAGAAGACCTAGGAAGCTTCGACATCACAACCAAATTTGCGTTCCTAAACCCTACTCTTTATTGCTTTTACTTTGCCATATTTGTCATGTTTGCTAGTTATGTTATTTGCTTGTTTTTGTGTGAGTCTATGCTTCAAACATTGAGGACAATGTTTGGTTTAAGTGTAGGGGGTAAACAAAGTGTTTTTGTTGAAAATTCGTAGGATTTTACCACCTAACATTTCAAAGGTTGTTTTTCATTGTTTTTGAGTGTTTTTAGTATGTTTTGATGTGTCTTTATGTGGCTTTAAAAGGAAATACGAAAATTCAAGAAAAAATTCGAAAAAGTTTTGAAAAACCCAAAAAGAGTCGTTTTAAAGTTGTTTTTATGTGTTTGTGTCTTAGGGTACCTTCCCACATAATGATGAAGATTTGGTTTTTAATTGCATGACTGTTAAAGAACGTTACAAACATGGATGGAAGTTTGATATACTCTGTGGTTTATGCTTGGTTATAGTTATAGTTTACGAATTCACATGTAATCACAAAGGAAAAATCAGTTTTTGTAACATGTTTGAAGGAAGGAACTGAAACTAACGCTACAACCATGAGAGACTTGAGCCTAAACTTTGTTTGGAGAGTTATTAATCTGTGATTTCTTGTTTTCTAAAGTCGTTGCATGATCTCATTATTCTTTGCTTGGTTGCTACTTAGAATGCGTTTTATCACTTTAGTTCCAAATACTAGAACTCATGCCCGTTTCATTCAAAGCTTTAAAATTGAGTGCATAACATATAACAAGATGAAATTGTTTAGTAGTTACCACTAAAGCCAAAAAGCCTTCATCCCATGCATTTGTTTTGTAGTTTAACCCATTTGAGCCTTATTTAGCCATTTTCTGTGTTTGCCACAATATTTTTACCTAGCCTAGATTAGGACTACCCATACCCTTGTTCTTAAAGGATAGTGAAGCATGACTTAGACGGAATTCCTTTTGATCAAACATATTGCAGAAAAACAAGTGTGGGGGAAGGGATTTTTGTGTGTGTGTGTGTGTGCCAAAGTCTTAAAAGAGGCACGGGTAGAAAAGAAAAAGAAAAAAAAATTCGTGGAAAATAGAAAGAAAAAAAAAGAAAAGTTGTGAAAAGAATAAAGAAGAGTTGAAAAATATGTGAAAAAGAGCTCTAAAGTGTTGGTTGTTGAAAAAAGGGTCCAAAAAGCTTGAATTTGACCCTAAGTGTTGCATGAATCTTCCCTTGTGTTTAAAAGTTGATTTCTACATTCTAAAGTGAATTCTAAGTTGATTTCATAAAAGTTGATTTCTGCATTCTAAAGTGAATTCTAAGTTGATTTCATAACTTTGCTTGCTATCGCTTTAAGAACCTTTGTTTATCTTTAACCTTTCTTTGTTAGCCAATACCCTTAGCCCCATTACAACCCTTAGACTCTTATCTTGGTTGTTGTGTGTTTCAATATGTGGAGTTTGGGATTGGTATGAGCATATGGTGTCACTGGTTCTTGCGTCTAAGTAGTAGCATTCCATTCATGAGATCATAACTGAGCATGCTTAATAACTCCAGAAAATGCTTTCTTTGTTATACATATATGTGAGTGTTCGTCTACATATTTATATCAATCTTCTCACATATAACTAGTGTAGGGTGTGTAGTCAAAAAATCTGAGTGAAAATTGAGTGCCTATCTAGTAAGGAATTGAGAGAATTCTCTAAAGCATGTTACTACATTCAAAATGTTGTTTTAATTGATTAAATGTGAGCTAGTGAATGGTGACTATGATTAAGTATGTGCTCGAGGGTAAGGATAACTAAAATCTATGTAAGTAGTGATTTTTAATGTGTCATGTTTCATTGGAAATTCCTGAGACAAACGTTGGAAGGTTTAGGTTATGTTTTGTTTGTTTTGTTTCCTTTGTTTTGCTTGAGGACTAGCAAAAGCTAAGTGTGGGGGAATTTGATAGGAGCATATTTATGCGACTTAGTTAGCTTGTTTTCTTGCATTTTCATAGTTAGTTTCTACTTATTATAGTGTTTTAAGTTATTTTCGTGTGTTTGTAGGTCCATATGACAAAGTTGGCAAGAAAGTGCAATTTGGAGAATTTTGAGGTAGTTTGGGCACCAAATGGATAACTTATGAATGGAGCAAGATGGTTGGACGAATTTGAAGTTCAAGAGGCTAGGAATGTGCTGAAAAGAGTGAAGAAATAAATCCAAGTCAAAGAAGATAAGAAATCAGCTCAAAAGAAGGAACATTATCTAAAACCTTATCCAACCTTATCTTATCTTATCCTATCATAATCCTATCCTAACTTAATTCTAGCTGCATGTGGGATTTATTTTCAAATTAGGACACATTAAAATAGGTTTCTAGAAGCCCTTATCCACTCCTACAAAGGTGCCGAACCTTATCCTTTGTTTTTCTAGGAATCAGCCACAAAACAACCTTTCTAGAAGGCCTTATCCCTTGTCTTACAAATCTGGCGCTTGGACCCTTTCTAGAAGCTTTAGAACCTGCAATCCTTTTTCCTTAGGATTGTGCAATCCTTTTCCCTTCAGATTTTGGTTATCCCTAGTCCTTTTCCTTCATGAATTGTGCCAAATACACATTCATTTCCTTCAGAAATTCGTGGGTTTCCCTAGCCCTATAAATACAAACCTTTGAGCAGCAATTAATCCACCACCCTCTACCACAATTCACTACATCATTCACCATACATCCCTTTTGTGCCGTGAGTATTGCAAGGAGAAAGAAGATGAGCCTTTGTGCCGTGCTTATGCCCAAGTCTTTGGGAGTGCTGGAGCGTTCTTAGGTGTTTTCCATCTTTTACTTTCAATGTTCAATTTAAGTTATCTTTGTTTATTTGCGAACATGAGGAACTAATTTCTTTATAGTTAGAGGTGAATTCGAAGCCATGATCATATGTTTTATATGTGTTGCGTTTTCCATTCAATTCAATGAATTTAGGGAAATCTGAGAATTAATTAGTTCAATACAATTAATTTGGGGCATTGTCATTCATGGTTTGTCGAAAGATAATTGGAAATCGATTTGTATGCATATGTCATGTGTGGAGAATGAACCCTCTAACTAGCCTTTCACCATTCTATTTCATCAATTTCGTGTCTTCTTAAGTTTGTTTTACAAGTTTATGTTTTTAAGTTTTAATTTCGTCAAAACAAAATCCCTTTTTCTTAAGTCTTGTTTTTAGAGTCAAAACCTGTTTGCTTTTAGTCTTTTGAGTCAAGTTAAGTCTTATTTTCGTCCAAATCACTTGTTAGGTCTAGAATTAAGTCAATTTCATCTAGTTTTGCTGTTCTGAGTGTTTTAAATTAGTTTTGAGTTTATAGAGTCTAGTTTAGTGTTTTTGAGTCTTATTTGTGTTGATTAGCATCCCTAGTTAATCCCCGGTCTAAAACGATCCCTACTTGCTTAATACTACAATTGTCATCAATATGGTTTAATTTGTGTGTCCAGTTAATTTTCACATCAAAAAGTGCCAGATTTATAGAATCCCAACGGGCAATATCATAAGCTAGGCCTGGCCAAGGAAATTTTGAAGTTGGACCGGGCCGGACCTTTTCATGACGTGGCATGAGAGCTAATATGCCAAATCAGCAAACATCTTGCTAGTTGGCACAAAACCACTGGTTCACTACGTGGCATAACCAGCAGGCTGCTAACGTGCACCCATCCTACTTCTCATCCGCCGTTGGTTTCCCGAGAAAATCCCCGAAAAAGAAAATAAAAAAAAAAAAAACCGAAAATCACCACACCCCGCTCTCTGTATGGCGGTCCGAGCCTCCGTGTCGCGGTTTCCGATCGACGCCGGGGCCCACGAGAGCTCAGGCATCCCATGGGGCGTTTCGGTGACGCCGTTCGCGACGAAGGACGAGAACGGCCAGTCGCCGGCGTACGGATCGGACGGCCAGCTGCTGCCGAGGTGCGAGAACTGCTGGGCGTATTTCAACACGTTCTGCGAGCTGGATCAGTGGTCGTGGAACTGTGCCCTGTGCGGAAACCCCCAGGGGCTTTCGTCTCAGGCCATTGCTCGATACTCGCACCCTCAGTCCTGCCCCGAAATGATGTCCTCGTTCGTAGATCTGGAGCTTCCTGGTTGGTCAATTTCCCACACTTTCTTATGATTTAATTTTCTGTTTGATTGCTGAGAAAATGAACACAAAGTCGAAGTAATTTATGTTTTTATTTTTATTTGTTTTCAGTGCTAATTTATATTATTTTTGTCATTTTCGCCCGGTTTATTGTGCAGTAGAAGAGTCGGATGAAGTAATGCAACCTCGCCCAGTTTACGTTGCAGTCATTGATTTGTCCTGTAAGTGGTTGAAGTATTGGTCATTCATTTGGAGGAAGTTGTAATGTATGTACTGGATGATTACAGTGGATCACATTGGATAATGGCCATTCATCTGTATAATTTGGGATAATTGTCCTCGAAATAAGGTTGATGATTTCTAGTCATGTTGTTGGGCCGCATTGTTGTTGTTGACAATGAGAATTGGTATCCAATTAGGTTCTGTCCAACTCATTTCTCTGCTTTTTTTTGGATGCTGTAATTTCTCGTAATGGTTGATATGTGGGTTTAGTTGGGGATACGTATTCTAGGATATAGAATTCGAAGCTTAATGTCATGAGTATACATGTCACTAGATCCAGAAGTTTTTCTTTCGATTACTGTTACCTTTTCATGAATTAGAAAGGTGCTGTTCAGGTTTGGATATGGGTGAGGGTGTCAACTCTTGAACATGTTTGGATCGCCACCATCTGGTTCATTTCGTTTTAAATTAACAATTATGTATTTCAAAATGCTTATTTTGGAGGGTATTATTTGAAAGACTCACATGACTGTATTTCCAAGGCTATACATATGAACTTTGGAGAACTTAATTCGATACTTGGATCTTTGAGATTTAACGTTTTTACATGCGTTTTGTTTGCATCGTTCTTCCATGCTTGCCAGCTAAGCAAAAAATTCTCAAGGACTTTAATATAGATGATTAAAAAACACATATTTGTAGGAGACCATTTGGAATTGACAAGGAACATTAATTTAAGTGTTCAAGCATTGTAGTTGCACCTGGAATGGAAATGTAAGCACATTGTCGGCTATATTGACATAGTGGTCGATGTTGATAGTTTCAATGTTTTTGGTTGGGCTACATGGATGAGGAAATCCTTGGACTCCATCATTGTATAGGAAATAGTTAGTTGTATCATATCTAATCAAATGTTTCCTTCACTTGGCTTTGAGTTCTTCAAAAATCAAAGCCTAAAGATCTAGTTAAAGAGTTACAATATGAGAAAGATCTTCTGGCCATGTATCTTTTATGCATCTAATCTGTGAATTCTCTTCTTGAGATGTTATTTATTTTTAATTGGTTATTTATTTTCAAATCAGTGACATTTATGTTTTATGGATTTTACTTCAGCTTCAGAAGAATTTTTGGAACTTATTAAAAGTGCATTGCTGGCCTCCTTGGAAGGTTGGTTGATAATTGCTACTTGAAATAGATTTTATTTGTTTCATTTCTTCATGATGCTGTACCTGACAACTAAATTCTCTCATTCAATCTTCTTTTTACAGCTCTTGGGCCCGGTTCTCTGTTTGGTCTTGCTACTTTTAGCCACAAATTAGGGTTGTATGATGTTCAAGGACCTATACCAGTTGTAAAGAATGTTTTCATTCCACCGGAAACAGACGGTACCCTACCAATTGAGCTTGAAGATGTCATGCCATTGTTACAGTTTTTGGCTCCAGTATGTCAGCCACAGTGTTTAATGACTTTTATCTTCTTTTTGTGCAATATATTTCTCTGCACCCAAATTCACGGTGGTATATATATTTTTGGTTTGTTAGCTAAATTCAGTAACTTCCTTCCAGGTGGAAACTTGTAAGGACCGTATTGGATCTGCACTTGAAACGCTCAGACCAACAACTTCATGGGAGAGAACTACAGCAGCTGGTCAAGGAATTGATGGTGTTTTGATGGGCGGGCGAGGGTTTGGGGTGGCAATGGAAGCACTTTTGAACTACCTTGGATCTGAGTATGGAAGTACATTTGCATTAGGTGAGGAGATGAATTTCGTAGCTAATAAAATTGTAATATTTGGTCCAACAACTATACCTATGAGTAGTGTTTCAAATCTTCTTCATATCATCAGACAATGTAAAATCATGACGTAGGTTTGTTGTCTCCTCCTTTGAATGTAACTGCAGGTAGAGTCTTTGCCTTTTTGTCTGGTCCTCCTGATTATGGAGCTGGGCAACTAGATACAAGACGTTATGGTGAACAATATGCTAGTAAGGGAGAGGATGCGGACCGTGCATTGCTTCCTGAGCAGACACCATTCTACAGAGATCTGGTAGTTTAATCTTCCGTATCTTTGTTGCTGTATGCTGGGGATTTTTTTGGAAACCTAAGCATTGACATATTTTACAGGCTGCTGTCGCTGTTCAAGCAGGTGTTTGCGTGGACATTTTTGCTGTTACAAATGAGTATACAGATTTGGCGTCTTTGAAGTTTCTAAGTGTAGACAGTGGAGGCTCATTGTATTTATATTCGAACACTGATGACTCAACTCTTCCTCAGGACATGTGAGTATACCTCAGAAAATACAGTGGTATTAGTTTGACAACAGCCCAATCTGGCATGCTTCAAATCAAATTGAATAATAGTCTTAATTTGGCATGCTTCAACCACGCACAACGCAACCCACAAGGCCTGCCTCTCTCTATGTGTAAATATTGCACAAAATGGGCCCTTAAAATGTTACAAATAGTTGTTTTTTCTTTTTAGTTGACAGTAAGGTCATAAGCCTTGAGCCCATCAGGCCCCAAAATCCCAAAATGCCTCTCAAACTCTTCCCCATTTTTCTCATTCGGGTAATGCTAGGGAGACTAAGTTGTAAACAAAATTTTGTAACCTAAATGACGTGGAAGTTGATGATTGGATTATTACTTAAGCGTTGATACACGTGCTTATTTCTATTGGTGACACATCATTTAGTTTGCAAATTTTGTCTACAAATTTAATCTCCCTAGCATTTCCCTTTCTCATGAGCATACCTCAAAAAATAGTGCGGTATTATTTTGACTTGCATACATGTCTGTGTGTGATTATGTAAATTGGAGACACATTGGGTTTTAAATATTATGAATAATTTGATGGACGACTTATGTTTATTATTTATATAAGTAAACACGTTTTATCAATACATTTAATACAGTGGACTTCTTCATCCATAAAATAAATGACAAACAATATAGATTTTCGTCAATTCTTAATATTGTAGAGAGTAGTAGTTCGAATTTCTAGGTTATGATGATTGTCCTATGCATTATTTGCAGGTACCGAATGCTAAGTCGGCCATATGCTTTTGGTTGTGTACTGCGATTGAGGACCTCATCTGAATTCAAAACTGGCCACTCTGTGAGTGTCTTGTCGTTTCATTTTAGGGTTACAATTTTATCATTTTCTTATCATATATCGTTTGTTTATTTTGCAGTATGGTCATTTCTTTCCGGATCCACAGTATGAGAATGTTCAACACATTATCTGTTGTGATTCTTATGCGACATATGCTTATGACTTTGAGTTTGAAGACACCAAGGGATTTGCAAAGTAAGTATATTCCTCAGATGGCCATCAGGGCATCTTTATTTTGGCTAAACACAAATGATTCTTGATAGCTTTCATTTGACTTTGAGTTTCGCAATACCAAGGATCCTCAGTGGTGTTTGTTTGCAGCTAATTATACTAATATTGAAATCCCTAACTTGAAACTCATACTTTCTCTTCCTATTCTAGTTGCTATTTTCTTTTTACTAAAGTTGTAGCATGGTCCACGAATTCTAGTTTCTTGGTCTGCTTACCTTAAAGATATCTGAAAACACATGTTTCCCCAAACCACAGCCCACCTCCATCATTTGTGGGGGAGAGTTTTACTAATTGATCAGTGCTTTGCATACCAACTCTCCAGTTCTCTACCTCAAAATTTTTTTTCATTAAAGATCCTTGTTAGCCTTCGCCCATGAGCGGTAGGCCTCGGGTTCGAGACTTGGGAGCAGCCTCTCCATAAATGGGGGTAAGGCTAGCCGACATTCACCTCTCCTAGACCCTGCGTAAAGCGGGAGCCTTGTGCACTGGGTACGATCTTTAAAGATCCTTGTTAGTTACTATGTCAAGTATTCTAGATTTTCTATGCTCGTAGTCAATTAAGTTTTGAGAGAACATGAAGTAATTACAAAATATGGGCACCCTGAAATTTGGTCTATAAAATTTTAATATTTCATTACAACCAATGAAATATTTCTAGAGAAACTTTAATAAATAAGTATGGGGAAGAAATATTCCTCCCTCCTGCTGCTGCTTTTCTCAATTGCTCAATTGACTCAAAATCCACAAATTATAACCAATTAAATATTTCTAAAGGGATTTCAGTAAATGATCTTTTTCTTTTTGTGAAAAAAGAGAGTAAAAGATCTCCTCCCTCCTGCTGCTGTTCTTCTCCTCCTTCCAAACCCACCCCCCCCCCCCCCAAAACCAAAAAAAAAAAAAAACCCCTCCCCTCCGCCTGCCATGCTCCTCCCCCATTGTCTTCTCTTGGCAACCATTAACGCAATACAGGTTAATCATATATAGAAGAGTGAATGCTACTTTCAAATACTATGAATTTTACCAATCATCTGTTGCACATTGTAGTTCTTAATTATTGGCCAGAATATTACTGATTTCTATCATTTACGGATGTAAATCCGTGCTTGTGTGATGTGCATTCTAATCCAATCCTGGGTTCACTATTGTATTTTGCAGACATGGATCAGAGCCTCCTATTATACAGATTGCATTTCAATACACTGTTGTACTGCCTCCTAAGGAGCTCTCCGATTCAACATCCGTGTCCTCAAGTAGGTATGGTTAGTTTTACAGACAGCCTATGTTCTTAAATTTGTAATCATCTTACTACCACAGAAGTTATCTTGCTTTTTTAATTCAACATTACATTGCATTTTGTCTATATACTTACATTGAATTTGGTGTCAAATAGTTATTTAACCTAAGTATGTTAATAGAACTTAGAAGCTACTTCTCTCATGCTTGCATCTGATTGATGCCAATTTTCAATAATTAAGCCTTTTCATCTAATATTTATTTTCTCCCCTCCATAATTTTTTTTTTCTTTATGTGTGTTGCCCCTGCCAACTTGCAATTATGATCACTTTTTTATATCTAACATTTAATATTTACTTTTGGCTGAGCCTGCTAATTTTTTTTTGTAGAGGCAAGTATTCCCTTAAACGACGACTAAGGATCCGAACATTACAATGTGGAGTTGCCCAAAATATGAATGAACTCTACGACAGTGTTGATCCTGAAGTAATCCTGTCACTGCTTGTTCACAAGGTATACACCACCAGTTCTGTGCCTTAGATTGTCATATTGTCTTTTATATGATTACTAATATATTACTGCTTGGCGTGAATTAACTTGATGTTGGGTTCAATTGCTTAACCTTTGCTCTAATGTGTTGTTAATTCCATAAACTTAAACTGTATGGTTAATAGAATTCACAATGGAGAAACAGATAAATATTTGGTGATAAAATAACACACACTTCAAAAATTTGGGCATGTTGTGGACTAGAACTCTCGAGCATTATTATTGATGCGTCTAGAAACTACTAAAAGTTAAAAAATTCTTTGTTCTTATCACTTAGCATTTCTCACCAGCAGTTTTTTTTGTTCTATAGGTTATACTAGCCTCTTTGGAGCAAGGAGTTCGGGAAGGCAGAATATTGCTTCATGATTGGCTTGTGATCCTAACAGCTCAATACAATGAAGCGTATAAACTAATTCAATACAAGAATGGGAGTGCAGGAACTGCTCAGATTGATGTTGCATTCACACAATGTCCAGAACTGCAGCCTTTGCCCCGCTTGGTTTTTGCATTGCTTCGAAATCCTCTGCTCCGTTTTCATGAAGAAGGTGTTCATCCGGACTACCGAATCTACCTGCAGTGCCTTTTCAGGTATTTGATGCACATACTGATATTACTAAAATGTTTTCAAGGATTTTGTTACTGGGTTTGAACTATAAGATTAAGTTATGGAACATGGTTTTCTTTTTCACATCTTATGCATCATCATATGCTATTTTGTGTGACAGGACAAAGTCTATTGTCTGAAAAACAAACAAAAAGGTTTTTTGTTATTATTTGATTCCCTGTCTTGTCTTATGTACTTTTGTGTTCAAAGAAGATTGAAATTCTTCCTGCAGTACATATATATTACTGCATTTGATGCTTGAAAACTTGTTCTCTTCTCACTTCTGACGAAGCATAAACTACACAATTTTCTTTTGTGGAAACTTTGTGCAGTGCACTGGAACCAAGTTCACTTCATCGTGCCGTGTATCCAGTGCTGACCTCCTATTCTACTCCAGACAAACAAGCATACCCACGCCATTCACCGAGTCGTGCAGCGCTGATTACCAGTGGTAGTCCTATATTTTTCCTTGATGCATTTACGTCTCTGATTGTGTTCTATTCCTCAACGGCAGACCCTTCACTTCCTTTTCCTCCACCTCATGATTGTAAGTTATATAATTTCCAGAAGCTTCTTAGCATATAGGTGGTTATCAAATTTGAAGGAATCTGGCAGTGCTTTTCTTATGACGTAAGACATCTATTAGGTTTGTTGCGGACTGTGATCAACAATTTGAAGAAAGAGAGATGCATCACCCCCAAACTCATATTTATCAGAGGAGGGCAGGACGATGCTACACCTTTCGAGAATTATCTTATTGAGGAACAGGATGTTGACGGAAGCGGTATACGAGCGTTATGGGTTTTGTTTCCTTTCTGGAGGATGTTACGCAGAGTGTGCTAGAATACATGAAGTCTGGTATCTGAATTTAATCACAAGGTACAGGAAGGGGGTGCTTAAATCACATAAAGTTGTTGGTACCGAGTCTACTGACAACTAGCTGTCTGGCCATCGACATTGAGAGTGTTTATTCTGCTGGTCGAACCAAATGTAGCGAGGGTTTCTAATTCTCTTTTATTCGAGAGCACCGTGCGTGGTACAAATTACCCAGAAATCACATTTACCTAGTTGTAAAAGATAGTTACAGGCAGTTAAGAGCTCAACTTTCTGGTCAAATCATGAAAATATGAGTGGTAAAAGTTGCTTCTGGGTTTTCCATTGCTTGGATTTAGAACCATGTAGTTTTCATGAAAGTTATGTTATACATTCCTTAATCCTCAGTGGTGAAAAGTTGAATGTTTTGTTCATTCCTTGTGGAACAACTTTTAACTGTTTTCTTTGAAAAAGTGCTCAGCCAATGCGATGAACACTAACAGGTAACTGTTGAAAGTTCAATGATCGGGGGACCTAATTTTTGACAATCAATTTGCCACTTTTATTGTGGCACATATATATATAAATGTAAAACTATTAAAGATGTTTATATGTAGCAAATAAATGGGCGAATATAGTCCCATAAAGAAGCACTAAAATGACTACTATTTAATCTAATTGTCATATGATTTTTATTTTTTGGGTGAGAGGATCTTTGGGTGATTTGTGATGTTAATTAACTTTTGGTCTATATATTATAATGAAACATTTGTTATAGAGCCATCCCCAATCATGAAGAGTTAATAAAAGACGTGAGCACAATTTAGCCCTCAAAAATGTAATTTGTAAGGAAGAGTAACGGGCAATTTTTACTATACGCACTCCAACTAATAAAAGATATGAGCATAATTTGGTTTCACGTGGTTGTCTATGTGTAGATCTTCCACGTTGGCTAGAGGAAAAGAAATTTAAGAGTTAAATATTTTAATTGCACTCCAACTAATACCAAGGCATTTTGTGATAAAACCCTACGCTTCGAACTGTGTAGGTCATAATTAACAAGTTATGGACAATATAGGTATTGTTGGAAGTAGGCTTTTGGCCAGTCTCTCTAATAATTTAACTTGGTATTAGAGCCAGAAAGTGGGCCTGTACACCCACATGATGGGTGGATCCCCTTGGCCTAATGCGATGATGGTGGGTCCTTTTGACACCGCTGTTGTGTGAGTCCCTTTGGCTCTACGTGGTTGCTGATGTATGCATCTCCCACGTGTGACCCACTAATTGAGTCCTACATGAGAGGGCGTGTTGGATATCCCACATCGGCTAGAGGAAGAAGAGTTTAAATATCATAAATACACCAACTAACACCGTTGCCTTTTGTGATAAAACCCCACACCTGACGAACTGTGCAAGTGGTAATTAAGAAGTTAGGGACAATATCGGTGTTGTTGGAAGTAGGCATTTTTCCCATCTCTTTGATAGTTTGACAGACCTCTATACCATTTGGGTTGATGTCTGTTGCATGTAAACACATTGAGTTGTGACGTCTCGTTTGTACCTTTCTCATTTTTTAGGCAGCTGGTCTACCTGTATATACAAAATCTTTATCCGTTGGCCATTTGGACTTTGTTGGCAAATCTCTAATTGACAAGAAAAAAAACCATTATATATGTATTTAGGATGTATCAAAATAATTTAGAACTTTTTTAGTATAGGTCAACAAATAATTTAACACTTTCCCAAATTACAAGCGATAACCTGCATATGAAGTCCTACGCGCCACTCTTTAGAGCAGCTCCAGCCCGAGGGACATGTTGAGGAATAGGGCTTGAATGCTCGAGTGATGTAGCCTAGCGTGCGTTGGAGAGCGAGCCTGAGCAGGCCAGTGGATTCGTGCCTGCTCAAGAGCCCGAAGGCAGTTTGACTTGGGCTGACATGGCGTCAAGATGCCGTCATTCATTCGCTTTGGCTCTCTCTCTATCTTTTCTCACAGAGTTTTACAGAAGGTTTTGGATTTGGGTTTTCTCTGAGGAACGGAGGAGAGTGAAAGAGGAGGCTGCGTGGAGAGATTTTAGCTTTGATTTGGTGGTGTTTGAGGCTCCGCCGAAGCTCTGGATTTTAACTACTGCTTGCTCTACCGTCTGCTTTATGCTTCTTTGCTTTTTTCGGCAGAGATTCAACTCGGTGATTCGACCTTTTTCGATGAATTTGAGACCAAAAAGGTATGTGGGTTTTTGGTTATTTTCTCTAAATCTTTGTTAAACCCTCGTGGGTTTTTCGATTATGGGTTGATTTTTTTTAGTTTTTTTAATTTAAATCTTACTAGTTGTTGAAATTTGCAGGATTTGTTATGGATTGCAATATTTTGGGGCTTTTCATATAAAAAGAAAATATTTTATTGCTAATTACTAGGGCTATTCAGTGTAGGGGTGGAGATGCAAAATGCGGCAACTATTCACTGGGTGGATAGCATAGTGGATGGCCCTAGGGGGCCTCCACCACGTTGGAAGTGCTCTTATGCCAATGGAGGCAGGGCTCATATCTTAATCTACATGCTCTCCATGCATGCATCCATATCCGTTTCCTAGTTAAGAAAGAAAGAAAGAAATCATCAAGGGCCTGCATGCAGTAAGTTGCTGCACAATTTCTCATATTTTTCCGAGAAACACAAATAAGGGATTGATCGGTAGGTAGGACCGACGGACCATTTACAAATCAGAAATACGTGTTCACGATCAGAAGGGAGGTGCCTGCCGAGGAAGAAGAAGAACAAATAAGAAATTAGGCATGTTAATGGCACACGAAATCCAGTATATAGTTTCCTAGCTGCAACAATGAGAAATGAAAACGTACGGCCTGTAGAACCACGTTTTTGTGTATATATACAAATGGTCAACACGTTTTGACATTAACCGTGTAATTTCCACTTAAATATCATAGCAAATTAATCCTCGCAGCTCCACAGGAAAGGGTAGCATGATGAGTTGAATGTTGAAGCCCCACCCCAAACTCCAGCGTTACCCAGTTCAAAATACACACACAGGGTGGCTTCCCAGTGAGTTCTAACTTCAAACTCTTTAACTACACATTACTATATCTTCAAATATTAATGAACCAAGTTATTAATTTGACTTTTCAACTATAAGGTATTTCAGCTTAAAATTTAGTAATTTAACTAAACAATTGCTACACTTGCCACATTTTTCATAACACATTCGTACCACTTCTTTGATAGATGTAGGGTCCATCAACATATGCAGATCTTATCTATTTTATAAAGGTGCTAGTACCAATATGGTATGAAAAATGTTATAAGAGTAACATTTTTGCAATACATATACAAGGGACGATTGTGAAGCCAAATCCAGCTCCATACAATCCTAAAAGGGGAATATAAAACTCTATCTGATTTTGGTTTAAGGTTAGTTTTTAATAATTCTACATGTGTTATAATTTAAGAAAGTGTTAAGGAGGAGGGGGAGGGCGTCAGGTAGTCGACAGCCGGCACTCCATGATTACGTCGAATCCTTATGAAAATGAATCCAGAACGAAATCGCGCTAAAGCTAGGGCGCCACCCGTAAGTGGCGCGCTGTGTGGCCCAAGCACAGTGATAAGTGAGCAAGGGTCGCTGTATCTCCATCGGCACCCGGATGCAGTGTTAAATGAGCAAGGGGGCTATAGAAACTTTTTTTCGAACGACTCCACTCAAAGTTGTTTAGGAGCATATGCTCCTATCAACTTTACACGGGACACACAAAAGAAGTACTTTGATCCTATTAGACGGGGAAGGGTGAAGAAGCTAGGACAGAAGGGTAGAGTTCAAGAGAGCAAAATGCGTTTAGGAACGTGGAATATAGGAACCTTGACGGGAAAATCTATGGAAGTAGTAGAAGTTATGGTGAGGAGAAGGATAAATATTATGTGCCTACAAGAAACTAAGTGGGCTGGTCGTAAGGCAAAGGATCTAGAAAACTCAGGGTTTAAACTATGGTATTCGGGCACAAATAGAATGAGAAACGGTGTTGGCATCATCGTGGACAAGACCTTGACACAAGATGTTGTAGATGTCAAGAGGGTAGGAGATAGAATCATGGCAATCAAGATTGTAATAGGACAAGAACTTATCAATGTGATTAGTGCATATGCACCTCAAGTAGGGTTGGATATGAGTTCAAAGGAGAAATTTTGGGAAGACCTTGGAGACTTGGTGCAAGAAATTGCTCAGACGGAGAAGTTATTTATAGGAGGAGATTTAAATGGACACGTGGGCAGGGAGACAGGCAACTATGGAGGTTTTCATGGTGGCCATGGTTTTGGGGAGAGAAACGAGGATGGGGAAGCTATCTTGGATTTTGCAATGGCATATGATCTCTTCTTAGCCAACACTTTCTTTAAGAAGAGAGAAGAACATGTGATCACCTACAAGAGTGGGTCGTCAAAAACACAAATAGATTTTTCTTCTAATGAGGAAAGGGGATCGTATAACTTGTAAGGATTGCAAAGTTATACCAGGAGAGAGCGTGGCTAATCAACATCGCTTGTTGGTGATGGATGTACATATCAAAAGAGTGAGAAAAAAGAACAAGACTTGGAAGTGCCCAAGGACTAGATGGTGGAATCTAAAAGAAGAAAAACAAGCCATTTTCAAAGAGAAAGTAATCACCCAGTGTGTGTGGGATAGAGAGGGGGAAGCTAACCAAAGGTGGGATTCCATGGCTAGTTGTATCCGAAAAGTAGCAAAAGAGGTATTAGGAGAGTCCAAGGGATTTGCCCCACACCAAAAGGAATCTTGGTGGTGGAATGAAGAGGTACAAACAAAGGTGAAGGCTAAGAAGGAATGTTGTAAAGCCTTATACAAGGATAGGACCGATGAAAATGGTGAAAGGTATAGAAAAGCGAAGCAAGAGGCGAAGAAAGCTGTGAGAGAAGCTAAGTTAGCGGCTTATGACAATATGTATAAACGACTAGATACCAAAGAAGGAGAGTTGGATATCTATAAACTAGCTAGAGCAAGGGAAAAGAAGACAAGGGACCTAAACCAAGTGAGGTGCATCAAGGATGAGGATGGAAAGGTTCTTGCTACAGAGAACGCGGTTAAAGACAGATGGAAAGGTTATTTTCATAATCTTTTCAATGAAGGACATGAAAGGAGTGCTTCTTTAGGGGAGTTGAGTAACTCAGAAGAGTGTAGAAACTACTCTTTTTATCGTAGAATCCGGAAGGAAGAAGTGGTTGTAGCTTTGAAGAAGATGAAGCATAGAAAAGCAGTAGGCCCAGACGATATACCAATCGAAGTGTGGAAAGTTTTGGGAGAGACAGGTATAACATGGCTCATTGACCTTTTCAATAGGATTTTGAAAATGAAGAAGATGCCAAATGAGTGGCGAACGAGCACTTTGGTGCCTATCTACAAGAATAAGGGCGATGTAC